TCAGAATTGTGATTTGTTTTGCACTTCTCGGCCACCGTAGTTCTTGTGTAGGGCCACTTTTATTTCCCAGCAGGTGGAGTCAGTGAGTGAGAGGTCAGGTGCCGATAGTGCCAAGAGTTGTCTGTATCAGAATCCATGATCATATTTTACTTGATTAAAGTTGATCAGTCAGTGCTGTAGGCCTACATGTGTTTGGTTCATATGGAGCTGTAAACCTTTGATTTATATGTAGTATACTTTAAGTGTGCTGGATCATTGCTGCAGAGACCAATTCTGTTCACCATTACATGAATCTTGAGGGAAGATGACTGTCCACATCACAAATGGTGCACTTGTTACACACAGAAACGTCTTTAATAATTTTAAACTGACCCTCTTTAGCCTTCAGAAGGCTAAGATTTTAGTTTTTGAATAAATGGTTACAAGATGTTGAAAAGTACATCCTGACCTAACAAACAGCATGACAAAAACAGATGCTGTTTTACTAATAAATGTGTAAGATAGCCTATCAGAGGACCCTGAGACAGTCCTGTGCTGCACTATATGCAAGATATCTTACATTTTGATTGCTTACTTTCTATATTAATGCAGAAGATGACATGATATTGAACTGAAATGTGCTTTAATTTAATTCAAATATATTTTGACAAATTTGTCTCCACTGTGCTGAATATTGTGCTGAAAACCTTATCGAATATTGTCATACAAGTCTATCAAATGTATATATTTTTAAATAAATAAATACAGCAACAACAAATAGTTTATCTCCCTAAATGTTACCTCTGCATATTATTATATAACATTTTGATTGAACTACAAATGATTACTTATGCACCTGAGTTACTGTGCTAATTTAAATGCATTTTTTAATAAAGCCTGTTGATGGCATTAGTGTACTGTCAATTATATTTTGTGCTCTTTATTTTTACATAATTTTTTCCCCCTGGCCTTAAAGCCATAGATAAAATAAATAAAATAAAATTCCAACAGACATTATAAAAACATGATGATATTGACATTGACATGACATTGGTTAGGAGGACAGAATTCACCAAAAAAATCCTAATTTAACACAATTACCAGGTGTATGAAACCATCATACTAAGCCACTGCTAGAGAACAGTGCAGTTGGACTTTTGACTCAAAACCTGTTTTGTTTATTTTCTACAAACTCAATGACCAGCACCAGTTTTGGCAAATACACGTAGAAAAACCACAACACTATCATCTCCTGTCTCTTTCTCTTTCCTAGGCTCACACACATTCAAGCCCAGACCCACACTTTTCGCCATGGGTCTGTGAAATTGTGTGTACATTCCTGCAGTCATGTGCTCATACTGAGCTGAGTCACAAGCTGAGAGAGAAAAAGAAACGACACAAAATAAAGAGATAGAGGAAGAGCACAAGGGGGAGGGTTTACAATTAGTTTTGCATTCATGTAAAGGAGAAAGAAACACTCACAGAGTGAAAGAGAAAGATCTTACGAGACCACGAGAGGAGCCTGATGGGGGGGAAAAATGAGAGAAAGACAAAACAAATATGAAGAGATAAATAAATGAGAGTTAAAACTGGGAGGAGCCTAACAAGTAAAAAAGAGCGAAGGTTGTGGCAACAGCAGGCATGACTGTGAAGAAGCTGAGGCAGACACAATGAGAGAAAAGAAGAGATGGATTTGCTGTCACATTCACACTCTGTTCTTCAGCAGTTAAGCATGTTTGCTGTATTCAAAAACTAGCAAAGGTGAGTGAGAATGAGATGGAGGGATCATTTTCATAGACACATGCTGTATAATATCTGTGTCTATCATTTTCTTCAGCTTGCAGGCTGCAGTGGAGTCAGCTGTGAATGCTATCGTGTCTTACAGGTT